GCTAAGAGTGGGAGGGAGTTCTTAAAGTACGCTCAAATTCAACAAGCACAACTAGACAGTTGCATGAACCACTGTCAGATTCACAACGCTGACACGTGGGACCAAACCAACACTAAAAAGAGCAAGTTTTGCATTTGAAATTGGTAATTGCTGTCTGCCAATTTGGATGGCATTACTTTTACACAACAGCCAAACATAAGCCAAAAGTCACCACAAAATTAAAAAGGCTTTCACGCTTTCAAATGAAGGATGAAAAGCACGTGAGCAAGTTAAGCGTGTGGGTTCAACCACAGCTCCTGCTCATTCCCAGCAGTGAAACAACCAAAGAAACAAAAATTTAGAACGTTCTAGATTAAGTATCAGTGAAAAAGATTTACACTGACATTATGCAAAGGCAAGATGAAGTCACTATAGCTCATCTGATGCGCAACAATTTCCTGGTGTGTTCACCAGATTGCTCACAAATCCCACAGGGTTCATTGTATGTTTCACTTTTTTCACTCCTCCTTAAAACAAAATCTGCCCTTCAAAAATAAACAAAAACTGAAGCGCAAGTAGTTAAACCGTGTTACTTTTCCACAGGGAAACTGCAGCGACAACAGATGTAAAAGACTCCAACTAACAAGTTGGTTTTATTGCATATATGCAGTTCCATTCATAAATGTCTGTTTACAGACATGATGGAAGCATACAAGCATCCTACCACATGATGTTTATTCAACATGACTGACCTGATGTAACTTTTGATGTCTGTACCATTTCCCTTTTGCGACTGCAACAGTGCTCTATAAATAACGCGCTAGACAGAAATCTGGCAACTTAAAAATCTTTTCTTTCATTATGCAAGGTAAACTCACTTAAGAACGATGGTCTTTCGTCTGGGTTTTGCGCCCATCCACTTGCTATCAGTCTTATGATGAGTGCTCGGTGAGGAATGTCCATTGATAAACTTTCTTTACTTAAGTCTAGTCGCTGTCCTTGTGACACACTATACATTATCTGCAAGGGGTTTATAACTTCTGTCAAAATAGATATCGTGCATTCATTAGAAATATATGCAATATAAATAGTTTACTACAGGAAGAATAATTTAGATTGCGGCCACAGTATTTATAGTTCACCAAAAGGAAGCAACGTTTCTTTTACAAAAAATGTATTTGGAATTTATCAAACAACATGGCACTTCAAAAAAACAGAGAGTTTACTTTGAGAAATAACTCAATCTGTTATTCAACAGACTTACAAGCCTGATGATTACAAAGTAACCCCTAAAATGAAGTTCTCAGGTGCCAAGATGTCAGCTTTAGCTATATGTAAAGCTAGAAAAATAAATTGAAAGACACGATCTTACCTTCAAAAGGCTGCTTCCTTGTCATCACCTCCCACATAATAATTGCATAGCTGTTTAAAATATTAAAAGTTTAAAATACATTACCTTAGATTGCCACCTGATAAAGCAATGTGCTCAGCTTTAAATTTTACTAAAAACATTTCGCTAAAATGATCCCGCATGGCACACACTGGACTGACTACAGCTCGCTACAACGATGCCCCAAACGTATGAATACTAGCAGGACTATTATCAGCGACTTCAACTGGGACTAGTTTGTAATTTTAAACACAGAAAAGCTACATGGAGTGTAAGCTTATCTTCCAGATACGTACCAGCCCTGCTCCACTGCATGCAATGAATTACATACAGACTGAAATATAAAGCACGCAGTTTAAATCTTGGTACGCAACCTCAAGTCTCACTGCCGCCCTTGGACGCTCCCCAGAGAGCAAGACCCTGCAGGGGGACGGTGCTCACCTAGGCCTACCTGGCAGGTGGGCTCGCACCCAGCAAGCGCCCCCAGTCCCACAGGCAGATGTCCATGCTATGGACACTCACAGTCATTTCAGTAGGGAGAGATGTCACTTCACAGGCAGCGTTCACTTTAGTCAAAGAGACTCTTGGGAGGACCACCCAGACCTATAGCTGACTGACTGGAGCCGCATCTGCCCACACACCAAAACAGAGGTATTTTTTTCTCATTCACATCAGCTGGAATGGGAAGCAGCTCAGTGCATACCAATGTGTTCCACCTTTAGGAGAACAACTGCGCTCTTCAGTCATCAGGATATATGAATCAAAAGGTTTTTAATTTAAGTTATATTAGATTATTTCATCTAAAGGAAGTATTTCGACTTTTTATGTAGAAGTCATCAATGCAGTTAAAGCAAATGAAAAAATAAAACAGCATGAACAAAACAGATCCGGCTGTCCTATTTAAGGACAGGAATTTCATGGTACAAATTAATCTAGTAGTTCTAAAATCTAAAAGGAGTGAGCAAAAGTACTTCACTGCTTAAGAAACCGGCAGTCAATGTAAAACATATCCTTATAAACTCATCTCTTCTCTCTTATTTTTTCAGAACATTTACACTTTGATTTTTAAAAAGTTTAAATGTTACTTTTAAAAAATTGTAATCCAATTTCTATTGAAACTGTTTTACGAAACTTTTAAGTAAAGGAATTATTTGTTTTAAGATTAATTACATTTATCAGAGTGAGTGTTTTTTTCAACTACTCAAATAACAGTACATAAAGATATTTTCCTAGATCACCAAGAAATACCAAATTTTTTTATACAGGTTATACTTAATTGCCTCTAAGCTTTGTGTAATTTAACAGCTACCAAATAATAAGAATAAAAAAAATTAAGCAAGCATATAACTCACACTTAAAAATCAATCATTTAATTATGCCTTCCTAAAGACTTATTCAATTCACAGTGATTTGTGTCATCACTGTTAATAATAATTTTGATAACTTTTATTAAAACCAATTCTTGTTAGAAAGACCTCTTCATGTATTCCTGAAAAATTCAAGAATATTGATTTATTTGTCATGGCAAATTGTTACTTTTACAAAAGTTAATACTGCTCAGCTTTTTATTTTATTTTATTTTTTTTAAGATTTGTTTCCTTAAGAAAGATCCTTACCCACAAAGTAGGTTTAATATCTCAACAATATTCAGACTTATCTGCTGCAATCAATTAACTAGACATCCAGCATTTCATTCAATTCAGAATCGATCTATAATTAAACATTATTCTCTCTATTCTGCAACACTGCAGCAAATCACTTCTTGCTGATTTCCCTTTCCATTATTCATGTTCTCCTTTATTGATTCTTCTTTATAACATCTCCTTCTGCTACTGCGCAGAGATTTTTCTACACGACCTTTCTGGTGATCGCTTCCTTCACTGTCTCTCTATGCTCATGTCTTCCCATCTTGAACTGGCATATCTTCTTATATTGTTTTCTTCATTCCTATGTTCTCTCTTTTCAAATAATCTGTTTCCTTCCTCATTTAACACTTTTCTAAGCTCCTTCTACTTATCTTTTCCTGTTTTCTCCCATTCAGTTCTTATTCTTCTGCACTCAATTTTTTCTAACAAACCTTTTTGTCTCTCTTATCTCTATTCATTCATTAATACACCAGCCATACGTCAAATCCTCTAAAATCAAGAGCCAGAAGAGATGACTTTTAAGACATCACACTGTTCCTTCTCTCCCCATTATATACCATCAGTCCTTTCCAACGCTGTCCTAGATCAGATTTTGTCCTCGAAGGGTAAGAAAAGCAGGTATATTACCCTCCCTATTCTCTGGATAGGAACGTCAAGGAGCTTTGTGTGTTCCTTATGGGATAATTAAAAGAATTAATGCTCTCTCCAGCAATCAGTAAGTCCCTCTGAGATTGGCTCATCTCTCACCAAAATACAATCCTGTCAAAGTTAGCTGAAGCTAAAGGTAGTACAGCACAACAGAGAGATGGGCTTCATCACAGTGACATGCCTCTTCAAAGCTGCTAAATCTCCATTTCCTAACGACAATTCCCTCCGTGATTGTTCAGACGATCCGAGCTCTCAGAACCTCTTCAAATGAGCCGTCATACCTCTCATACCCTAAGAGTAATCATCTTTTTAATATAGGTAGCCACTACTCTACTACTGCCAGATACTACTCAGGAGAGCTGACTGATGCAAATCTACCTGAACTTTCATAAAGTAAGTTATCCTTTTAGTAGAATCTCTCTATACTTCCCCCACTCCCATTACCCTGCCTTTTCTTCTAACCCCTTTCCAGAAATATGTTTTTCTTCTCTCCCCCAAGTATATCCTGCAAATTATGTTAATTGATGTACATTAATTACAAGGGTATGTGAATAGACATAAAGGTGTAAACACTTTATTTCCTCCCTACATTGTCTCTATGGATAAACTTTAATTTATAGAAACCAGTCTCCTTTTTCTATTTCCACCGTTACAGTTTAATTTCTGGAGCGTTATACTTGTCACAGTGTTTCCTAGAGAAATGGATGATCAAAAATTCCAGCTAGCACTCAGATTTTTTTCCCCTCTTATTCATTTTGCTTATCACGGGTACAGTATTCCTGGAAATAATAATATTGCTGAAAATGCACTAAAATTTAAGTTCAGTAACTCAAATTTGAATTCAAATTGCAAAGTGCACTTGAGAGCAACGTGAGGTACCTGTAGATATCATGTTTTACACTTGCACGGCTTTTCTGACTGGGATTGTAATCTTCAGGTGGCATGTAGATAATAGTCCCTCCTTCTGGCAAAGAAGTTTCGCTTCGTGATTGTGACATAGATACCACACGCCATTTTGACAAGCCAAAATCTGCAATCTGGAAAGGACAAATCAGTCATTATGAGAAGAAGAAGAACTGGATTTATTTATTAATTGTTTTTATAAATCTTGGAAATATACCTGAAAGAACAGTTAGTTTAAAATCCTTAACTTGGCATGTAAAAAGCGTGTCGTTGTCAGAGCAACAGAAAACAGTATCTCCAATTCACGACTTATGCTACTGCTATAATCCTGCCCTATCCCATTGCTCTTTTACGGAAGGATTTCATATATTCTACAGCTGGAGAATTTACTGTGGATTTCTGTCCTGTCTGAGAATGGTTCCAGAAAATCACTTACTTTCATTAAAAACAAGCAAACAGAGAGCCATTGTGTATTTCTAGCCCCCTGGCTTGCGAGGAAAAGACCAGATTCATTATAAATCAAAATAGCTCTATATATCTGAGCCTGCAGACATCCTGAGGCAGTTGCTCTTACAGAATAAGATTAGGGCAGTCCATTCTGTAAGCCATTCTTACAGAATAAGATTAGGGCATCCCCAGAACTATGAAACATTTATCTGGAATTAGCAAAATTAGTATTCTGAAATTCTGTGCTGTAAAAAGTTACCAAATATTTTGCTTACTGTGCACTCTGCGGCCTTCCCAAAACCATCTCCTTGTCCTTTCCTACAGGGTTTACAGTACATCTCCAAATAGAATTAATTGACTTTAATTTGCATTCCCAGACTTCCACAAGTCAGGGAGCAAAATGATAGTCTAGATTAAAGATAGGAGAAAAGGGATGTGGAAGAATAAACTAGCTGTCTGAGCTGAAAAGCGTCCAGCGTATCAGGAAGAAAGATGTAGCCAGGTACAAGCTTTGGACTTGTCCAGTGTATATGCAAGAGCAAAACGATTCTGAACAAAGCTGCCTGTGGGAGCGCTGTGGCAATTAAGATGATAGAAATAAATTTTCTGGAGAGCATACAAATTTAATCCATAGTAAAAACAAAAAAAACAAAAAAAAAAAACCAAGCAACCTTTTAATCTCTCCAACTCAGCTTCATCAGTGTAACTTCCTCCCTGTAACTGTTCAGATATCCTCAGTAGATCCAATAGTGTTATTAATTTTATACACATGCAACTCTTTCTACATACTACATATGATAACTTTCCTTAAATTTCCTGAAAGCTGTACTAAATTAGAGAATCTTGCTTCACCCTAAAAAACAGCTTAAAAAAAACAGATGTCCAGAGACTTTTCGTTCGGAAGGTATACAGAGTTAACCCCTTCCCTTCTTTTTTTGTGGCACAGCAACTATTAATGTGTGGTCAGGCAGAGTACCAGATAGCACCAGTGCTAACAGAGATTAAAAAGAAAAAAAAAGAGCGCATGAAAAAGAAAACACTTGGAGCAGTTCCCCAGTCAGGTTTATCAGGAAGCTCCAGAGATGGTGATATCAGCACAACTGAGCAGAGGAGGAGTGACCTGCTGAGGGTGCGAGCAGGGAGGAAGCTGCGTAAGCTGCCTTGCTGCCAAGAAAAACATCTTTGGAATGGAGGCCTCCAAGTGGTTATTATTAAGAAATCGGCACAGGGCCTTTGCTCAGAGGACTTACAAACTACACCACATGGTATCATCTGAAGCATTAGCCATTCAAGTACAAATTAAATGCAAGATACCTCTTATTTCTCAAATTTAGGAGTACATTCTATCAGTTCTAGAAACAGAGGATCTGAAAAGGAAACAAAACTTAAGCAAGTATTGTTCCTTTTACTAAAAAAAAAAAAACAACAATCCTACTGAAATTATGGAAGCATTCTATCACTAGTACTTTTACTGTCTTTTTTCACATCAGGGCAGTGAGAGTTTAAAAGGCAAAATTAAGCTTTTAAACTAACACTGTTTCTCCATGCATATTTGTTTGCTCTGAAAGCAATTACGTTGCTTCATAAAAGGTACTGGGATGTTCAAATTTCACAGTTAAGTTTTACATATTCCTATACTACACTCTAGCAGGATATGTACATATTGCGTGGTAAATATCAAATGGCATTAACTTTAGAATTTGGTACCACTGTCCTCCAGAATGAATTTGCCAGAGCACCTTAGGCAGGAATACTTTCTCTTTACTACTCAAAAAAGTCTAGGCACAGGTACTCCTGGAAGGTTTTCATAGGAAAGCATCACTACTATTGAGTATCGGACACTGCTATGGCACAAACAGCCCAAATTCTGGAGCCCTGTTTTTTTTTCGATGGCTCAAATCCACACTTAAGCAGAACAGTTTTCAAAGAAACTGGAAAGTTCTGTCTGCAAGGATACAACAAAGGCGTATAACTATGTCCCCTCCACATGGCCATGTCCTCACTCTTTCTCCTCTGTGATAGTTAAACACTGGCTAATTCCAAATGCTGAAGAACAAAAGATTTAAATAACTCTACCTTAACATGAAACTCATCATCCAGCAAAATATTCTGCGTCTTCAAGTCGTGGTGCAGCAACGGAGGATTCATGTTGTGCAAATAGTTTACTCCCAAAGCAATTTCATAAAGGATTCGGAATCTCAGGCACCAGGGAATGTCCGGATATACATCTTTCTACCAAAATAAACCCACAAAACCAAAACGTAACTCTCTGTTCTGATCTAACAACACAATGCAGACTGTTACAATAAGAAGAAAGCGACTTGCACAACCAGTACTCTTTTAAAGCATTTATTATGTCAACTCCTTACAAAAGTATAACTGAGCATTGAAATTGATCAGCTGTTAAAACAAAAGTATGATTCTCAATCATGCAAAGTTACATTCCCATTGCCTGTCATTCATGTAATAGCTCATGACTGCTATACATAATGTGTTAATAGCACATTTACCATGCTACTCATATGGAAATAAGATTGACAGATGAACTCCTACATGACACTTGTAACCCACAGACTATAAGTATTATTCAAAGGAAAGCAAGAATCGTATCTTCAGTTGACATGGTGGGGGAGGGAAGGAACGGACATGCCAGGTCAAAGTCATTCTGCATGTCAGTGTACAGGCAAAACTCAACTGAAATTTTTTGAGTTTACTTCTGTGCCTTTTCCAGATATTGTGAAACTAATCATAAAATGCCACCTTTGAAAGTATAAGTACACCAACAAATATTGCAGGAATTTTCCACTGAAATATTAAAGTTACACCGAGACTAATGCCTTTACGAAAAATACACAGTTGACTTCTCTAAGGCATGAGGTATGTACCGATTAAAGGTACAGAAGAGGTACAGTGCTGTGGAGACAACTGCAGTAGCTTTAAACTAGAACATGGGATGCTCAGATCAAGCTAGCGGAAGCAGCTGAGAGCTCAGCACAAGCTGACCTACGCTTGAAAGTAAGGCCCAACAGAAATATCCGTATCTGCTTAGATTTGCAATATTCGCAAATATAGAGTCAAAATATTCAATTTTTTTAAAAAAGGTCATCTTAAGGAGATAAATCCATCTTTTTGTGATATTTACACTGCCAACATTTCTGAAACACAGACCGAAGTGAGCGTAACTACTTCTGCTTCTAACTAGAGAACCTCAGAGATTTTTTTAAGTGACTATATATAATAATTCGTCATTAAGCGAGTTACAGAGCAGAGTAGTAAAGGAAAGAGTGTATTAAAACTGAACTCCACTGACTTCAGCTGTCTTTTTAGGGAGAAGAAAGTCTGAGCAATGAAAACCAGTACCAATGCTGGCTGTTCTTTAACTTGAAATATTATTAATATTAAATTTTACTACACCACTTCCCTTTAGAATGGATATCACAGTATATTTGAACCAACCAGGGATTGTATTGAAGAGCTTCAAGCAGACTTACCCCATGTAAAAGCTGGTTTAATGATCCATTTGTCATGTACTCTGTTACTATCCCCAGAAATTCAGGCTCATTGCAAATTCCTAAAATTGGCAGAATGTAACTAAACCTGGCTTTGTGTAATATCTCTGCTTCTTTCAGAAGGTGGTTTCTATCACTTAAAGAAAAAGAAAAAAAGGGGTTACTGTACTAATACTGCAAAGGTAAGGTTCATTCAATTCACTTTATATAATTGTGTTCCTATATGCAGTAGCACCATCTTTCACAATTTATTTCCTACTACGCAGTTTCTATAACAAAATACGGAAAGACAAATTAGAATCTACAAATGCAAGCACAAGATAGCTTCTCTAGTTTTGTTGTACCACACAACACATTTCCTCCGTGTTTCCAGTAAATGAGGACATAACGAGAACTCCGACTTCTACCATCCTGTCTAACCATAATGACAGTAATATCTAACTATATTTATCCTATTTTACTGCCCATCTTCAAATATTGAGTTTTCAAGGACGACCACTATTTGTCTACTGTAAAATGGAGAATTTAACACTTTGCTCACAGGTCTCCAATTGTTTTAACTCAGTCAGCACTGCTGTGCACTAAAATAATGTCGGTTAAAGGAGTACAATTTCAGTTTCTGAAGGAAAAGTAATGATCAAGTATGCTTTGTCATCACATAAACTCTTCTCTTAGACTGGGCCCTGTTTGAATTGGCCTCTGGAGAAAGTGCTCTCTGATTATACAGGGAGCACAGCGAAGCTGACCTGACACCTGACCACCTGAATTCGGTGGTGTGAATATTCTTTGCTAAGGCCAAGCCTCCTCATAAACGTGAACTTGAGGCATCTTTACAAACATGTAAGTATACCTTGCTGCATATGAATATAAGCAGCTGAAATTTTATTTAAAACAAAGTAAGAGTACACTTCTGTTCCTAAGAATAACGAAGACAATTTTTTGACACGTTTTATGTCTCAAAAGTTCTTGAACAAACAGGTTATTAATATTGAGGATACTCGGACTAAGAAAGATAATTCTAAGAAAAAAAGATTTAGCTTTTACATCAGTGGAGCCTGGTACAGATACAAGTGCATGACTGGGATATCCAAATGCTGGACTATTGCAGCCCATCTAAGACTGACCAGGCAGCCTGATTCAGAAGCCATCAGGTGTGCAGGGCTGCACACAGGCTAACAGTCAACGCCGATCAAGATTTGCTCAGTGCACTGCCATATTAATACGGCCATACCGCTCCCAGATGAGAGCTGGCTTTAGTCTGTGCCCTGAGCTGGATCGACAGAAGAGTTCAAGTCTGTCTGGACCCGTCAGTGCAGACCTAGCCCTCACAATCAGAAGGCCTTCAGAGTACATGGGGGAAAAAAGGAAGCCTAGAAAACTAAAGCTTGCTGCTTTTATGACAGAAGAATTTAAAATTTAGAGGTATGTGAAATTGCTTTCAATACGTAGGAAATAGAAAGCAAAACATCTTCATGATGGAGAAAAAAAAAAACCCTCCTGTTACAGGAAACTCTAGAAAATGATCTGAGGGAAAAGGCAGGCCTCAAGGAAAGCCAGGGATGTAACTCTCTCCTTCCAAAAAACACTAGCTTAGAGAAAGTAGGGGTTTTCCCAGGCTATGAGGCAGATCTGCATGAGATTCTGCTGTAACTGGGAAACAAGTTGCAACATACCGAGGGTTGTTCCTGGATCTATAAATTAGTTCACCTTTCTCCGCTCCATAGCGGAAGAGCATTGAGTAATGCCAAAGCTAGTGCAAGCCCACAACAGCTTCCAAACAGGCTCTGCTGCTCAGCAGGTCGCACAGACCAAATTCTGGGATGCACAGCGCAGGCTTCCTGTTTGGGGAGTTAACTGCACTGTGAACTTCCCTTTTCCTGACAGCACTTACAGACCAAACTCTTACGCTACCTACAACACCACTGACAATTTTCTTGTCACAAAAACTCAGGCGCAGCATTTCTTACAGCTTTAGGTTATTCTCGTAGCATTTCCGAGCTCTGCATGATCCACGGCTGAGGGCTGAGTTGTTCTGACTGCCTCAGTTTCCCCCTTTGTCAAAACTTCCTGGATTTCATGTCACACTGATCTAAATTCTGGCAAGGCTAGAAATACTATTGACTGTTCTTTCCCAATCAATTTGAAAGGAGAAGCGCTATATTCAGGATAAGCGGGGATTGAAGCAGATAATTTAATATAAAGAAAAAACATTGAGGAAAGTTGAAAAGTTTTTACATGCATGTATATACACACACGCAGGTATATGCACCCCCCTGTCCCTCTGGTGTACACATACACACACAAACGCACACATAGACATGGCTATCTGTACTTCAGTGAAGTTATTCTGCCTGAACACCTAACACTAGATCCAAAGAAATGAGTTCATGGAGGCGAAAGTCACCTAGATAAGAAAAAAAGGGGCAAGTTTATAGTCTTCAACAGCCTAAGATGAACTGGCAACGACCTGGTTAAAAAAGAGGCACTGTAGAGAGTGAAGGAGGCAGAGATGGAAGAAAACTACAGCCTGCTGCATCCTTAGGACGACAACTCCTGCGGTAAACAGGCTACAACCTGGTGCCCAGAAGAGCGGGGAACACGACGGCTGAGCTGCAGAGCTTAAGGGAGATGTCACCTGTAGGCAAGAGCCCTACACACCTACCATTCCCAACCAGCTTGTCTCAGTACCTGCGATCTGGGGCAAAAATCTATTATGTTTTGTCTTGGAGAAGCTTATCCTGGGTCCCTGCACTCGGCAGCGCACACAGTAATATATTCTATGCACTACACTACATATTCCATATACTCTATACCCCCCCCCGGGCTCCGCCACGGCTCGCGGAGCTCGCTCC